ATTGCTAAGTTTTGACTTGGGAATCACTCCTGACGGGGTTATTGCCAGTAACGACTTGCGAATCTCTCCTGATGAGTTTATTGCTAAGTTTTGACTTAAGAATCACTTCTGGCAGGTATATTACCAAATATGACTATTGAATCACTCCCGACGCGTTTATTGCCAGTTATGACTAATGAATCACACCTGACGGGTTCATTACGAAGTTATGACCGGTGAATCACTCCTGATGAGTTGTTACCCAGTTTTGACCTGTGATTTACTGCTGACGGGTATAGTGCCCGTTATGACTAGCGAATCACTCCCGACGCGTTATTGCCAGTGAATCACTTGAGAATCTCTCCCTACGCTTTTATCGCCAGTTATGACTGATGAATCACACCTGACTTTTTTTTTAACGAAGTTATGACCAGTGAATCACTCCTGATGAGTTTGTTACCCAGTTTTGACCTGGCAATCACTCCTGATGAGTTTATTACGAAGTTATGACCAGTGGATCACTCCTGATGAGTTTTGACTTGGCAATCACTCCTGGCGGGTATATTGCCAGTTATGACTATTGAATCACTCCTGACGAGTTAGCCAGTTATGACTTATGAATCACTCCTGACGGGTTTATTACGAAGTTATCACCAGTGAATCACTCCTGATGAGTTGTTACCCAGTTCTGACCTGTGATTTACTGCTGGTAGGTATATTGCCCGTTATGACAAGTGAATCACTCCTGAAGGGGTTAATTACCAGTTATGAATTGTGAATCACTCCTGGCGTGTATAAGGCAGTTACGACTTGAGAATCACTCCTGACTGTTTTTTTTATATTTTTTTTTTATCTAGTACTTGTGAATCAATCCTGAAGAGTTTGGTCTCCCAGTTATGACTTTTGAATCGCTCTTGATAAGTTTATTTCACAGTTATGACCAGTGAATCACTTCTAATGATTTATTACCCAGTTTTGACTTGAGAATCACCCCTGATTAGGACGATTTTGACATGGTAGTCAAAATAGTGCTGTTGGCCCCTTCGAGGCAGTTTTAACATAGGTCCAGTTTAAATCTCCATTAACGCAAGGGGTGGTTTCCACAATGTGCCCAGATCAAAAGCCTCATTGTCATTGCCACTGACCCTCACAAATGCATTTTACCCCACCGCGGTGGCATGCCTTCGCTGTGACACTCATTTGAAAAAAGCTCATATCATCTATATATATAAGAGCAAGTTTTACTCGGCCTCCGAGAAATGTTTGCTCCTGAAAGGATCCAAGACCGCGGTCTCCCGTGGCCCCACAATCGCTCTACGTCCGTGGAAAATGTGGAGGGTGTCTTCCGCCGGGTTTGACACTTCGGGTCGTCCTAATTTTTCCGTACGGACCGGCGATCGTTTCGTCGATTTTTAGGGATTGCCTTTTGCACAGGAATTTGCCGTCGTGTGCGCTTTCACGTTGACTGCCTGGCTGCCCTCTGTGTTGACTTTTCTGCGAGTCAAGACAGTGCAAGGTCAGCGACTTCAACGTAGGGGTTCCGTTTACGTGTTCTACTCGGCCGTTCTACAACAGCGTTCACCAAAAGGTAGCCTTGGGTGACCTTGGCAAAATATTTTTTCTCCATGGTGCGTGGCCACCAAGTGTCCCTATTGTTTCCTATGCTTTGCTTGCCGCCCCTGCGCCGAGTGCAATGAATACTTAGGATGACTACACATTAGTATACCTTGCGCGGTCTGACCAAACGAAAGTCTACACTGCGTACTACTTCCCGGCTATGCAAAAAAACTGTCGCGGCAACGCGTACTGCAGCCTGCTCGACACCCTGGAAACGAGGTTGGGTCTACAGTGCTCGCTATGCAACTTTATCATCACGTCACACGCTTGTACAAGCGTGTGACGTGTGATAAAGTGCTGTTGCTTTTACCATGCATGGAAGAGTGTTTTGAGTCCGCTGCCCGCCACGTATAATTCAGTGTCGCGTTATAATTTCGGGGGCCTGTTTGGGATCAACGAAGGATCGATGCATTGCTTCAAATATCGCAATCTTTGAACTACGTTGGGTTGGAATAACGAAGAGTGCATAATAAATCCATTGGCGGTTGTTGGCTGTTTGGACTTGCTTTATTAATAAGGGTTGAACCAACTTGAATAAAACAGTTAAATCAACGTTTTCCTCGCAGGTCTTGCAAATTGTAAGAATTGTAAGAAGTTTACGTTTGTTGATGAGTCCAATACTGTATCTTCATAATGACCTTCCTCCATGATTCAGACTTTGTAATGTTATGGTTACACACTCAACATTTTCATTGCAAATGCCACCTTCACGTTTTATTGCATTATGATTTATTGTCAAAGCTGTACAATCAGCTTTCGCCTACGGTAAGTCTTTCATCTCAGTTTTCCCACAAAATAATGCGACTGCCTCACAAAATGCCAATTTAACAGACCAACGAGAAAATTTACAAGCAGTCATGCATGCCATGGTACATAATTATCATGGGCGTCAATTGCCCACCCCAACATTTTAAAGCGGGGAATATCGTTTTGTCCCCCCCCCCAACTTTTTCTTCCCGAATAAAAATTGTAGCCTACTATAATATTCTTTTGCTCAGAATAGCTGATTCAATGACTCCAAACTCAAATGATGTTTAAAAGATGATCTTTAAGTTGTTCAAACAATACAGTAGTGTTAGTATCGTGGTCAGAAATTGCCTAAGATAGCGCCGCAGAAATTGCTTTTCTATAACTGCATGTCTTCTAAACTAAATCCCCATTTACATTTAACTCCCCACATTTTCAACCCCAACACAAATACGCCCTACCCGATCTATGATCGGGTAAATCAGCTTGTACGTTAATATACTCGAAACCTACAGACGAAATAGGGTAATGGCAAACGGGAACAGCTCCCCCGATGAACTTCTCAACAACTAGACAATGCATCATCGTCCCTCGTCCTCACATCACTTGATATACTATTTAACCTTGTCTTGACATAAGCAGGAAGCACAAGTCACATTTGTCACATCACCGTTGCGACACAACTGCAGGAGTGATTCACTGATCATAACTGGCAATAAACTCACAAGGAATGACTGACATTACATAACTGGTACTGAGCCTGTGGAGTGATTCACAGGTCATAACCTCGTTATAAACCGTCAGGAGTGATTCTCAAGTCATAACTGGCAATAAACCCGTAAAAAAGTGGTTCTCAAGTCGTGACTGGTAATATACCCGCAGCAGTAATTCACAAGTCATAACATTGTGATAAACCTGCCAGGAGTGACAGGTTTAGTTTAGATAAGTTTATACTCATCAGGAATTATTCACAGGTTATAACTGGTCATATACCCGCCATGAGTGATTTCTAGGTCATTCCTAGTACTAAACTCATCAGAAGTAATTCATAATTCATAAATGACATTATACCCATCAGGAGAGATTCATAGGTCATAACTTGGTAATAAACTCATCAGAAGTGATACACAAGTCATTCCTAGTACTAAACCCGTCAAGAGTGATTCACAAGTCATAACTGGTAATATTCCTTTCTAGCTCGGGCCATTTGGGGCTTTTTGAGTTAAAGCGCATAACTGCTTTCTCTTTTATATTTGTTGATATTGTTGTACATATCTTTTAGTACTTGGTCCTGTGTCACTATTTGTTGTTTTGTTTGACCGAGGAAATCATACGTTCTACCCGTTCTAGGATTAGCGGGAAAACTACGAGAACATACAACAAGGAGAAAGATATCATCATCCACGCAAAACAGACAGTGGTATTCAACGACCAGGTGCCTTGGAGAAAGCGTAATGCAGACAGTAAATTCAATGTCATGACGAACGTCGAACGGCGCGGAGTCATGCGAGCTGTATGTAGCATAATATGCTGTCGATCCTGAAACCAAAGGTACGGAAATAGAGTGGGACTATACAGGGACGACGGTCTGGCAGTATTCAAAGAGACCCCCCAGAAAATAGAAAACATCAAGAAGGAAATTTGCCAAGTATTCCGGGAAAATGACTTAAAGGTAACGATCGAAGCCAACAAGGCAACAGTAAACTTCCTTGACATCACATTAGACCTGCGAACGGGAGGGTACAAGCCATACATGAAGGTAATGTACCTCTTTATGTACATGTCCAGTCAAACCATCCACCCGCTGTCACCAAACAGATACCAGATGGAATCAACAAGCGTCTCTCCTGTCGTCCAAGGAGGCATTCGAGAAAGCTGCCCCGGCCTACCGAGAGGCTCTGCAAAAAGCGGGCACTTTTGCCCGCTTTTTGCAGAGATATGCCAAAAATCGATTAACTCATATTCTGAATTTATTGCATGATTATAGCTCTACAGAGATGTATCGGGCAGTGTGAATTGTGATAGAAGATTTCATTGGATATTCAATGAAATCGTTTTCTATCACAATTCACAGTGCCCGATACATCTCTGTAGAGATATGATTATGCAATAAATTCAGAATTAATCAAACTTTGGCATACATTTCTCTTCTTGACTTACTGTTTCGTACCATAAGGCATTCATCAGCAGAATGACAAAATATAGAATACAAGTAGCAATATAGAATACAAGTCTTACCTTATTTCGAATCAAGCGTGCGCTCGCGTTACACGCGTTACTTCATTGAAGTTAGTACGCGTTTACGTCACTGAACTTGGAACACACCTGTCTCTAAACATCGGCCAGACGGCGCTTGTTTTTGCCAATGTAAAGCTTACCACAGCGTTCACATGCAACTGCAATAGGAGGTAAGTTGTTAACGGTATTTTGTTTACACAACAAAAATAAGATTCCATCCGTCAACTTCTGTTGTATAGCATGTGGAAATTGTTGTGCCTATTTCTGTCAGACGTGCGCGTTGCACACGTGTTTGTTCGAACAGGGGAACGGCCTATATGCTTTTCATTGTAGCCCAGTACATTGTACCATATGCACTCAGCATCAGCTGGATGGGAATCCTGGGTTATGCTTTCCTTTAAATCTTTAAATCTTCCCAGGCTGAACCACAACCGGTTCTACAAGCACCGCAGGCACCTGGAGAGCCACGTATGGTGCGCCTCGCAACCCATGCTCAAAACCAGCCGCCACAGAGGAATCTTGCATCTTCGCAGGCTGGATTACGACAGGTCCCACCTCAAGCCCACCAAACCTGAGGCAAGACAACATCATGGGCTATCTTCCAAGGTGTGGCCATATCGGGGATTATGCAGGCAGCATGTTGGAAAAACTGCCTGCGAGATGTTCTCCAGGCAGAAGGCTGGATGGGCAGACAGGTGCTACAAGCAAGTGCTCGGACTGCAGCCCAAAGATCTTGTAAAGCTACTGACCCATCCTCCTGGAAGCATTATGCTTTCAGCTTTCGGGTATGTCTTAACAGTTTGGTTCACTAGTATTCCTTCCAGCTGGGCTTAAGACACTTAACTTCTGGACTCTAGTCTGCATGTCCCCACCTTTGCATAAGGGCATCTGATGCTACTCTGCATTTGTAGGTATCGGAGGTGAGGTATTTTCTGCAATAGAATTTTCCGAATCTACAGGGCTTTTCTGTTCTAATAAGAAAATACTCACCTCCAATACCATCCTACAAGAAAAGGGGGGGGGGCGGGGTTTATCAATGGGCTTCTGGGATGTGCAGTGTGTGAGCCTGCGTGGTGACACAATGTTCTTTTGTTATAGTCAGCGGAATTGCTTGCGCATGTGCATTGGATATGTGTAAAGGTATCAGAGGTTAACATTTTCTTATTAGAATAGAAAATCTTTGTAGATTTGGGAGAAACTGAGTAAAACATGCATGGAGGGCAAATCTACATGACCTTGAAATTCAATATTGAGGGTGGCATCCGCCTACATTTGGTTATCCTATGATTGGTTAAGAATGGTTGCCAGCTCATATAATAGTGTGTATGCTTTGCCAAGTTATATAGAGACTTTTCTGTGTTTGTCTCGTCAACTACCAATAAATGTGCTGATATCCAAGGGCAGTTTAGTTGACATTATGAGATAACAGATCATATGTAGGCGAAAATTTCTTTCACATCAAAGAGAGTAGTTAGAACGCTAATGGTGGAAACTTGGCTCACATTTTCGTGCAGCAAGATCAGTGTTCCTTTTACATATTGTCAATCTGAATTCTCTGTGTGCATGGAGAAATTGATCCTGCAGTCTGTGCTGCGGCAGAGTAGATTAACACTTTAACCCTACCCCCCCCCCCCAGCCCTTTTTGTTAGGAACCATCCTCAATCCACCCAAATGCTCCAAGATATTCCACTTACATGTATGTTTAAATGAAGGATACCCACTGCCGCAATCCTTCAAAATTCTCCATTAGCCCTGCCTCTCAACTGCATTCAGCCTCGGTCCTCCAAAATCCTCTTTTCCAAACACCACTTATTATTTATTTATTTATTTATTTATTTATTTCTTGTTTATCCTGGGGAGACCTTTCAGTGGAACACTGTTTTTCAAAGGTGCCCAGCAGTTACAACAAACATACGATATTATAAAAATAGAAAAAAAGCAATAAAACATTACAAAGATATATAAGATTTGAGGCTTTGCATGGTGGGGTATCGGTATCGTTTCGGTTTGCGGCAACACCTCTTGTAGAGGCACTTAAAACTGGCAAAGTGTGTTTAATTGTCATAGGGAGGTCATTCATCCTCAATCCTCCAAAATCAATTGACACTGTATGTGGCACACATCCTCAATCCTCCAAAATCTTCCAAAACAGCCAGGAGGATTTTGGACTTTTTTAAAATATATTTTTAAAAATTGCTATATATCTGCTGTGTGCAGTGTGTGAGCTACTCTTGTTATGATTACAGCGGAATGGCAAGATTTAGCCCCATAAATGTGGCCTATTTTACTGGACTGCCTCCGTAAACATAGGCCACACATCCACATGTACAAAAACGTGTCGACTTTGCCAAATTTTGATTTTCACATTTAGGCTTACTTTGTAGGTTTTTTTTGCTTTAGAAGCATTCTCACCCTCTATATAGGCTAATCAGAAAGTGCTGCCTGTTTCAGATGTCCATTTTTCGTGAATTTTCCAGATACATTTGCACACAAAATTTCAACATGAAATTTCACAAAATTTAGACATCTGAAAAAGGCAGCACTTTCTGATTAGCCTATATAGAGGGTGAGAATGCTTCTAAAGCAAAAAAAAACCTACAAAGTAAGCCTAAATGTGAAAATCACAATTTGGCAAAGTCGACACGTTTTTGTACATGTGGATGTGTGGCCTATGTTTACGGAGGCAGTCCAGTAAATAGGCCACATTTATGGGGCTAGGCAAGTACCCTATTACAAAGAGGCAATTGGGTTCTTGTCATGCATTTTCGAAGATGTCTGATGCTCACAGGAAGACGCTATACTGCATTTAATATTAGTCCGAGTAACTTGGACCCAACTTATCGCCTTTTTTAACATTTGGACATGGTCTGGCGATAGTAAGGTCCAAGCTAATACCGCGAGCTGGACAACACCGTCCCAAAAACCAATATTTTCCAACAAAAAACATCAGATTTCACCTTCAAAACGGCCTCCAAATTACTAAATATGCCCCCTGAGGTACAAGTAGACATCGATGATTAAGATGGTTGTACTGAAGTTTACTTACGATCCGGAAACAAGTGAAATTTTCCGTTCATTTCGGAGGGCTCCCCTCGCGATCTTGAACACGTTAAATTTCCGATCGTGTTTAATGTTTGAACGACGCGATTTCTTCTTCATGCCCAGCGTACATTCGATGGTCCCCGTATCTCGAGTGCGATTCCGTTACCGAGCGCGCGCGATGCATCGATTATGATAATGAGTAGACTGGATCACGTTTGTAAACACATGTGCATTTCAAACGATAATAGGGAGTCGGGAACTAGCGCAGCTTTTATGGCGGATACCAGTTCAAGCTGGTTCCCGATTCCCTTTGACAGTTCGAAATGCACATGTACATGTATGTGTTTACAAACGTGATCATTATCATAATCGATGCATCGCGCGCGCTCGGTAACGGAATCGCACTCGGGATACGGGGACCATCGAATGTACGCTGGGCATGAAGAAAAAAATCGCGTCGTTCAAACGTTAAACACGATCGGAAATTTAACGTGTTCAAGATCGCGAGGGGAGCTCTCCGAAATGAACGGAAAATTTCACTTTTTCCGGATCGTAAGTAAACTTCAGTACAACCATCTTAATCATCGATGTCTACTTGTACCTCAGGTGGCATATCTAGTAATTTGGAGGCCGTTTTGAAGGTGAAATCTGATGTTTTTTTGTTGGAAAATGTTGGTTTTTGGGACGGTGTTGTCCAGCTCGCGGTTTTTAGCTTGGACCTTACTATCGCCAGACCATGTCCAAATGTTAAAAAAGGCGATAAGTTGGGTCCAAGTTTAAAACTCGGACTAATTTAATATGCACATTCAGAATAGAATGAGCCTTACATACTGTGACGAGACAGGGTTAACGACTGGGAACAAGTCTGGTCATTGATTGACAGGTCTGCACATGGTCTGCACAAGACGTAATTGTTTTGTCTTATATTTATCATAAAATAACAGGTGGCCCACAATGTACGTTAGGGGCTTATGTTAATTCATTGTTTTCAAGGTAAACATCGTGTGGACATAGCGGCTAGTGTTAGGCTGCCGAGTTATCATTCATTATTTTTGTTTATAGAGGTTCTTTAATCAATAGCTTACACATACAGGCTTTCAGTTGTGGCAGATTTGTAAATAAACCATCCATAATCTTTCAGAATCAAAGAAGATTTTTCGGTCCCTGAGAGTTTATTTCAGAGCAATGCAGAGCACAGACTATCAGTAACCAGTCGGCAGTATATTTTCCCAAAACAAGCTCATTCCCTAGGGCCTTTAGATTGCTCGAGTACTTTCTAGGGTCTAAGGTACCATTTGGACTTGGGTAACCGGGTGCGTTCGCCTCAGACAGGTGTCGTTATTCCAGGGGCTCCAGGTTCGAATTCGACTTACAGGAAAATTCGCCAATTTACTGTGCACCATATACGAACAAACCAGTGCATGCCTGGAGTCCATTAGAGAATAGATAGCCCAAATTCTTTGAGACATAGATTCTCATTATTAGTAGGTTCTTACTTTTACTAGGAGGGTGTTATTAAAGCCCAAATTCAAGAACTCACTGCCCCCTCCTATTCGATATATATGTACAGGGTGTTAAAAAAAAATAACCCTCAAAGTGTCCTCTTTTTCACAGTTTTAAAAACAATTCATCCTTAAAGGGAATATACATCATTTGCTTTTGCTGTAATTGTCAGAAATGGATGGAATTGGGGGGTTGGAAATATATAGCAATATAGTTACACTGACCTTTTTTGAGGTTTTGGGTTCGAAAATGCTATAAAACCAAGAAAAACAATCTGGTTCCCTGACTCCATATAAGAAGAAACAGAGCAGTTTACATACATTGGGGAATTGTAAGGTCAGGGAACCAGTCTAGCTGGCTTGTACCCGTTCATAGGTGTGTAATCGATTGCAAACAAGTGCGATGGTCAATTGGGGCCAGTATTTGAAAAAAAGCCAGTTTTTTTCCCAACGCTGGTCGGCCGACCAGCGTTGGAAATTGATACAAAAATACCACTTTTCTTGAAAATGACAGTATACCAGGTGCCATGATTTTACAGGATGCTTTACACTGTCATTCACTAACAGTCCAGCAAGGTATTTCAAAATGATTTGGTAGTTTTATTTTTTGATGTTTGCAAATGTTGTATTTTCCCTTTAATATCTATACATATTTAGAGAGTATAGTCCATTAGCTTTACGACAATGAAATTTTTTTCGATTGGGTTAAGTTTCATTGAGTTATGTCCAATTCAAAATAAGTGCTGATTTTTCAATCTGATCCTACCTCAATTGTCATTTGTTAGGAATGTAATGGATTTAGGGTGAGGGAAGTTTTTTTTTGTCTAATGTTTTAATCTTTCTTTCTTTATTTTGTTCATTTTATTATTTTATTTTTGCAACAATAGTTATTTGTCCTTTTGGAAGTAATGGTATAGTCCCGAAAAGATCTGTTTGATTAACTTCTTAGATGTTTAGTTTGCTGCTTTTTGTGGTTGTCTCTGCCCTCTACTTGGTAGTCTTTCTTCTCAAATGCAAGTTTCGGCCCGTGTTCTTATTGCAGCTGTCAAAATATCAGTCGCCGTGGAAAAAATGAAAAAACGGTACTTGCTTACAATTGGCCACAACTCAATCAATATTTACCTGATTGGAAAGACGTTTACGTTGTTGGAAAACTAATGGATTATACTCTCTAAATATGTATAGATAATTTGCTGTGTATTTTTTTTAAATTAAAGTTGAGGGCTTGTTTTTGTGTGTGTGAGACACCCTGTATATGTGTGACTCTGGAAATATTTAGTTTTTGTTTCTTTGCTGCTTGTTTTACAGTTGGCTGTTGTACAATTTAGCAGTTACACAATAAGAGTGGCAGCTGCCAAGGCAAGGCCAAAACATGATACCGCCTCATGTCCAGAGCTGTATGCATCATTACAACTCTGCTTTCAGGTAAGATTTAAATAGGAACTCAATATAACAAAATACCTTTGTACTACAAGATCCTGTCTACAATTGGGCTTTATTGTGTTGTCTTTGTATCATGTTATCTTACCCTATTTTAGGATGAAGCTGGTCAGATTTGGGCGATGCATGCTTTTCATGTTAAAAGATGTGCAACATCAATATATTACTTACAGGGGATGAGAAAAGCACAAAGACAAAGATATTTAGAGGTTGTAGGAACAACCACACGGTGTTGGGCCATGGATTACCGCAAACTTTGCCACACACATCAACTCAAAATATGCATGTTTAAATCCATGTTTGACTTTTCAACATGCCGCCAGAGGGCGCTCTAACATTTGATGACGTCACCTGTAAAATTGTTGTACAGTACTGCCTAAGGCAGACACTCGAATCGTTGAAAGCAAGTTCGCATCTTCTGCCTATTTCAATTAATAAGGCACTTCCGGTTTTGACCGGAAGGAAGGGTCACGTGATTTTGCACTTAAAACCAAAAATGAAGACCCTGCAACATTTTATCGATTGCCATAAAAAACAAAATCAAATCTGTAGCAGTTGATTTCATATTGATTTTCAAAGATTAAATATGGAAATATTTATTTGCTTGTAATATGACACTTGATGACGTCATTGTGACATCATCGCCAGAAACCTCCAGAGCTATATTTACTCTGCTATATATAGCCACATCTTGATTATATCTCTCAAGGTTGATTTTTTTAGCAATTGTTTAAGGTTTCAAGTTAAGTCTTTTCTTTATAACTTCCGGTCTGATGACGTCATCCATTTTTTTTCGCGCACAGGTCTTTTCTGCATTAAGTTCATCATGTATGTTAGGTTTGAAGCGATCACCGCAAATTTCGTCACATACATCAAGTGATAATGCGTTTTTGACATTTTTAAAATTGCCGCTAGAGGGCGCTCTAACATTTGATGACGTCAACTGTAACATGTTTGTACAGTACTGCCTAGGCAGACACTCACATCGTTGAAGGCAAGTTCGCATCTTCTGCCAATTTCAAATAATAAGGCATTTCCGGTTTCGACCGGAAGGAAGGTTCACGTGATTTTGCACTAAATACCAAAACTGAAGACCCTGCAATATTGTATCGATTGCCATAAAGAACAAAATCAAATCTGTAGCAGTTGATTTTACATTGCTTTTCAAAGATTAAATCTAGAAATCTGTGATTGCTTGTAATATGATACTTGATGACGTCATTGTGACGTCAATCCCAGAAACCTCAAGAGCTATATTTACTGTGCTGTATACAGCCAAATCTCGATTATATCTATCACGGTATATTTTCTAGCAATTTTTTAAGGTTTAAAGGTGTTTTTATTGTAACTTCCGGTCGACCGCAGTCTGATGACATAATCAATTTTTTTCGCGCACAGGTGTTGTCTGCATTATGGTCATCATGAACATTAATTTTGAAGCGATAACCGCAAACTTCGCCACAGACATCAAGTGAAAATGCGTTTTTGACATTTTTTAAATTGCCGCTAGAGGGCGCTCTAACATTTGATGACGTCAACTGTAACATGTTTGTACAGTACTGCCTAGGCAGACACTCACATCGTTGAAAGCAAGTTCGCATCTTCTGCCAATTTCAAATAATAAGGCATTTCCGGTTTCGACCGGAAGGAAGGGTCACGTGATTTTGCACTTAATACCAAAACTGAAGACCCTGCAATATTGTATCGATTGCCATAAAGAACAAAATCAAATCTGTAGCAGTTGATTTTACATTGCTTTTCAAAGATTAAATCTAGAAATCTGTGATTGCTTGTAATATGATACTTGATGACGTCATTGTGACGTCATTCCCAGAAACCTCAAGAGCTATATTTACTGTGCTGTATACAGCCAAATCTCGATTATATCTATCACGGTATATTTTCTAGCAATTTTTTAAGGTTTAAAGGTGTTTTTATTGTAACTTCCGGTCGACCGCGGTCTGATGACATAATCAATTTTTTTCGCGCACAGGTGTTGTCTGCATTATGGTCATCATGAACATTAATTTTGAAGCGATAACCGCAAACTTCGCCACAGACATCAAGTGAAAATGCGTTTTTGACATTTTTTAACCTGCCGCTAGAGGGCGCTCCAACACTTCATGGAGTCACCCATTATTTTTTTTGAAAGGTCAATTCAGGCAGACACTTAAATCGTTAAAAGCAAGTTCATATCTTTTTCCACTTTTAAATTATTAGGCACTTCCGGTTTCGACCGGAAGGACGGGTCATGTGATTTTACGCGCACAGGATAAAATGAAGATCATGTATTACCATGTCGATTCCCGCAAATTTCAGGTTCCGGTCTCTCACGGTTGATTTTATATGGAATTTCAAAGATTAAATTTATTAAACTTTCGAGTGACGTCACGTAACCCATGATGACGTCATGATGACGTAATTACAAAAAAGACCATCTGCTGTTGATTGGGCATTCATGTATTGACAAATGAAGTTCATATATGTTTCCATTTCTCCAAACAGTTCCGGAAATGAATTCCTGAGAATATGCTGAGAAGAATACAAACAGTGTAAAATCTTACAAAACCAATAGGTATTGGGCTCAAGGCCCAACACCTAACTAGAACTATGTCTGTTCAATGAACAGAATATAGGGTTTTTCCGCATTATGTTTTTATGAGTTGATGTTTTGTTTTGTCCTTATGCAGTCAGGTAAATTATATGCAAGAACATAGTTCCATGGCTATAAGTTCTCCACATATAGGGCTTTAAAATATGCACCTTTAAGATGATGTCTCATGCCCCATAATGCCGTCATAATGACGCCACCCCATTTTTTCCCCCTGCAACACGTCCCTGTCTACATGTCCATACCAAGTTCCAACCCAATCAGACCTACATTTCTTTAGATATAATCTTAAATTATACACCTTTAAGATGACGTCCATGACCTATGATGACGTCGTCATGATGTCACTTGTCTGGGACCACCTTAACCTTAGGGTCTTTGTTTGTGCCTAGTTGAAAGTCAATCTGACTGCATTTCATGTTATATTGAGCTAGCACCAAAAATGTAAAATGTTTAAAAATTAATATAAGATCAGATGATGACTTCATCATGACATCACCTTGGATTTTTGCACTATATACCTACCCACCAAGTTTCAAGACGATCGGACATTCCCTTATGTGTGTTTTAAAACTCACAATTTTGATGACGTCATCATGACGTCACACATTTGTCACAGTTTTGTGCAAATATGCACGACCTAACTTATCCATTACAATAAACCAATTTTGAATTGAGCATGTTGCCTTTGTGAGATATGGCAATAAACTTTAAAATTTCAAAAATCCAAATAAAATCACATGATGACGTCCTCATGATGACGTCGCCTCAATTTTTACCAACATGTATAATACATCCCTGTCTATCTACATCCCTGTCTATCTACATACCAAGTTTCAACCCAATTGGACTTACAATTCTCTAGATATACGACTTCAAAATATGCACGTTTAAGATGACCTCATGTGACCCATGGTCACGTCATCACGACGTCACTCTTCGGGACACAAGTTCACTATGGGGTCTCTCTACCTGAGTTAAGTTTTATTGGAATAGGACTGTGTTTTGGGTCAAAAGTGCCCGGTACTAAAAAACATGTACAAAGTCAAAGGGATTTGGGTTAGAACAAAAAGAAAAGAAACTTGAGCTATATGTGTTTGAAAACAGGACACAGGGCTTTTTCGCATTTTATAAATGTTTATGCTATGTTTGTCCTTTGCAGTCACTTTTAAGAGTGTTTAATACAGTTAAAGGTTGTTCACAACAGCTTTAATAGAATAATTCCAAAAATAAAGCTTTATCACATGACGTCACATGCCCTGCGATGACGTCATCTTGAAAACCCTTCTCAATGCACATTTTGTCATTGTGGTTGTTACGTTGTCCACCTCGGTGAACATCGATTATACTTAAAGTTCTCTACATCAGGAACTCACACTGGACAACTTCTTGCTATACTATTTATTGCTACATTCTCATATTCTGGAGCTATACAAAATGTTGTGCACTCTCTGGTGCCTCAATCAAGATTAACCATTTCAATTCCTTCCTTACTTTTTATATGTCCCTAAACCATTGTTAGATGTCAGCCCCGACCTCAGTGGAGGTGTGACCACATCTTCTCTTTGAAGAAGTTTTCCAACCCTTCTTGAGGGTAAAACCACAACCTTAACTTGGATATTTATTGACCACAACATATGTCCTCTACCACCCACCTTATTCTTCCTAGAATCCCAACACTGGCCAAAGTGGCCTTGCTATGGGTTATCGACCTACAGGTTAATATGTACTTACATCACATGCCCCCTCCCCTAGAGAAGACTGTGTCAGTCTTGCAAACAAGCAAAATTACCCTGTTGAAAAATACAGAAACTAAACATACATCAATTAAAAACTTGTTATCAATAGTAAAATTATGAGTGGTCAAAAGCAATTTGAAGAAGACTGATTATAATTCAAAAGTGTCCATTCAGCAACATCCAATGCAACGTCAGTAGGGTGGTCCTCCATCATGTAGTACACTGAGCTGGATTGGGTGCAGTAAGTTATTGTTGCAAGGAATACATGAGAACACATCCAAATGCTTATTATTCAAGCACAAATAAAACAACGTCCAACAAGGATTTGTGAGATACACGTACACGTATATATTGATAATAAATAGAATTTCCACTTACACTGAAAATTCCAGGTAAACAGTTAAACTAAATTAAAGTTCCACTCATGCACTTACTAAATCTAAAGTTAAACATTAAATATACTGAGTTGTAGAAACATATTTTCTACGGTGATTTCTAGAAACAAACGTGTGGACTATGAATGATACTCAAGGTTACTTATTCTCTGCAAATTAATCTGAATTTATGCACGACTGAGACCATCTGCATTGGCATTAGCAATGCCTTTTCTGTACTGCACAGTGAAATTCCAGGTA